CGTCTAGATATGCTGTATCGATGCTTGATTTTCCTGAGACAGACGGGATTATGGGAACAAATGTGGGAAACAATACGTTTAAATCTAAATTTGAATCTAAACTTAAACAAAAATAGTTTATCCTTTCGAGGATCTATAGATGAAAAAAAATTAAGTAAGTATATTAAATATTGTAAGTTACAACAAAAGACTTCTGTTAAGATTATTCTATATAGATTATTCAAATTGCAGGAAATATTTCAAGTTATTTACTTATGCCAAATCATAATGTTGACATTACATAATAATTTAATAATAATTATTGAGGAGGTAAATGTGAAAAATGCCTACATACATTATATATACAATAAGTACATACATACATACATTATATATACAATAAGTATAAAATATATAATTAATTTTCCAAAAAGAACTTAATGGGAGTCTTGTAATGTTAAAACGATAATATATACTATTAATAATATTGAATAATAACACTAATTTTCAGTTGGAATGGAAGAAATGATATTAATGTCACGATTACCATTAAATCAACTATGGCAAAGAACTGAGTCATTGAGAGAGAATTGCCATTGGATTAGCGTTAATAGAGACGAATTAGAATTAATTGGAGATTCTAGAAGATTTATTTTACCAGAAGATGTAGCAGACTTTGTACATCCAATTCTTTCCCGTAATTCAAACTTTCAAATGGCTGTTTATTCTCTTTTATGTCTAAAAGTACCACTTTTACCTTGTCGTGATTGCTATATGAAAGTAAGTAAAATTATCTTATTATTATTAAATGAGATTATAGAGAAGTAGGAATAAATCAATAAAAATATATTTAAAAAATACTTTATATTTTTTACAGGAATTATTATTGACAAACTTTCATTGGGGAGTAGAATCTTTAGAAGTATTGCTTCCATTTATGTATCCTATGGTAGGTGAAATGGCTGGTCATGATCAAAGGAAAGAATTATTAAAGGACATTCTCGAAGGACGTTTAACATCAGGTCCTCAATATCTCAAGTTTCATCCAGCACAGGAACCATATTTAGATTTTGTACGCAAAATATTTCATACGATCGCGGAAAATCTACCTTTGTTACAACGAACAAGTATATATGTCTGGTGGTTGCGATTAGAAAGATTACTAGTATCTCTCGGCAAAGATGAATCTTTAAAACATGACAATAAGTAAAATTCATATTTACCTAAATTTTAATAGTTTTTATTATAACAGTTTTATTCCGCAACATGAATCAATTTTTTTTGTTGCAGAGGAAAAAAATTGAGGGCAACATTGAAAGAATTTTTAAAAAAGGATGAAAACAGAAATAACTTGTATTTCTATAAAGAGTATGCTTTAATAGAACTAGAAATGGGCAGATTCAGCAACTGTATGAACATTCTTGAAACCGCTATTCAATCTCAAGGGACATGCCCATCTGCGATTATCAATATGTGTGAAAGAGCAGCGCTTTTTAATGTATACAGAACATTCATCGAGATCTTGCTTGATATTAGGACGTACAACGAATCACACAGATCCTGGATACTACAAGTCTTTAGTCAAATGATACCTAACAAAAATGAAAATCAAGAATCTTTGATTGAAGCATATTTACATTCGTGTGTACAAAATTTTCTGCAAGTCCCTTTCAATGAACAAGAAAAAGATACTTTATTTCTATCGAACTTAGAATGTGATGCTATCGTATGTTATGCGTACTTTCTATATATTAAAGATGGTAATATCCAAACTGTTATCAACACATTGAGGAACTGCATTGATCATTCCAAGAATTATCCTTACTTACAGGTACTAATTTAATATTCTGCGAACAATTAAATATTATTAATAAATAAATTGAAATTAAACAATTGTATTGTAAAAAAATTACAAAAAATTTTTTAATCATTGCAGGAAATATTGTACGAAAGTCAAATTGCAATTCTGCAATTACATTACGAGCGGACTCAGAGTATGCAGGCTGTGTTAAAAGAAACCCTAAGCAAAACTTTAAATACATATCCGAATAACTTTTACGCTTTATCTGTATTTGCTGGAATAGAAGTAAAAAGCATTATATTACATTAATAATATAATGAAATTGTAACAACTGCTATAGGACGTTTCTATAAATCGATAACAGAATTATAAAATAATTATCATTTCAGAGTGAATTACCAACTTGGAGATTCAATAGTAGAAGCACCGAGATTGAATTGTGGCGAGCCATGGCAATGTGTCTGGCTGTTCGTAGACGTATTGGTCTTCTAATGAAACTTAATCATCATGATGCAATGAATGCCGCACTGAATAAGTTATTATCTTTTCATCTAACACTCTCCAGGTATAATATAATTAAATCTTTTAAGATGAACTTAAATGCATAAATATTATAATGTATAAAATATACAAAATTATTTTCAGGATATCGTCGACACGATGTTGTCCATTGCTGTGGAGACTGTATATGCTCCTTCTGCGCGAGCATAATTTGTGCGAAAAAAAAGGAGAAGAGATTTATCATGAAAGCGTTACTCAATGTCCATGGGCAAGAAGTATTTACATAGATGCAGCTGAAGTAGCGCCTCAACTTCTCACACAAATTCAAGATCTAATTCGCGAAAAAGAATTAAGAATGCACGTCACACCTGAGGAATTAGATATTCTTCGTGGATAATATAATTTTTTTATATATTAAGAAAAACTGTAATGTTCTTGATGTTATCTAAACTATTAACTGTAATATTCTTGATATTATTAATGTCTCCTTTATTTAAATTTTATTTTCTAATGTGATGAATTAAGAGTATATTTAAATGTAAAATAAAAAGTAAATAAGACTTTTTTCAATAATAAAATAAAATATGTAATAAAATATAAAACAATTTGATATTCAGTCTCATATTCAAAATATTCAAATATCAATTATTTTTAATATATATTACATATACACATATATTAATCCTAGTAGACCATTGTTATTTTTAGTTATCTTCCCAGTCTCACACCAGAGTATGTGAAACCCTGCGACTTTTTCACGCTATATCTCTAAACTGAATACGTATTTTTCAAAACGTGTGAAATTTATACTTCGAAATCAGACGAAGACAGATAAATATGAATCAAATAAATAATATTTTATTTTCAATTAATTACAATGCTTCAAAGAAATTTTATTGGAAAAATTCACAAAAAATGACTATTTTGGATAAAAATTTCCCAAACTTTTAAATTTAATGTTCAAGCAAAAACCCGTACGATTTCTTTAGTTGATTCTTTGGACTAACAAAAAAAAAATAGTATGATATGAATCGCTCAAAAAAGTATAAATATTTGAACATTTTTGAAAAATCTATACATATTATAAGTTTACAATCAATAAATAAAATTTTATTATTTAAACAATATAAAAATGGTAGGTAAAGGATTATACGTGTATAAATATTATTGTAGTACTGTATAATTAAGTTTATTAGGGTTTAGTTTAGAGGATGATGTTCTAAAGCAATAAATTCGTTCCGACCGAACGTCGTTCTTCGAAAATTGACAGAAATTATAAAATTTCTACTATTTATTATATTGAAATATAATTCTTTTTAATTCTACATTATGTGTACTTACTTTTATACTATTCGAAACATATATTTAATAAAAAATGAAGGAATACCCAGAATGCCAAAACTTACAAGTTAGTCACGTGTAAGTCCCAAGCACTCTCTTTGAACTTTCGTGCATTCTCACGTAAGAATAGCGCAAAAAAATCCTTATAGGCTTATTATATCTATGGATAATTAAAGTTTTTTTCTACCTCTCAATTCGGATCTTCAAATTATATTATAAAAAAGTTACAGCAATATAAAAAATCGCATAGGGTAACGTTAAATCCACGAGTGGCCTGCTAGGGTTAATATATAGGGTTATATGTTATATTATTCATATTTAATATTAATTATAATAGAATATAATTATTTTTTTTAATAATTATATTCTATTTGCTAAATGCAAATGTCACGTTAAAAATGTACACAATAATGTTATCGTTCGTATTAAAAGATGTTCATATCCGAAAGTCTTTGGCAGTCTTTGATTAGTTCAGTGATGTTGCACAAAAAATTGTAATAGTATTTTTCAGAACAAATTATAAACAGACTTGAAAAATAAAAAATCGTGTTGTCTTAAATTAAGTGTATTGTTTTCTTATTGAGACAGTTAAAAATAACAATTTACAAATTGTGTATGTTTTTATATAATAATGTAACTAACCTCAAATTGATAGTATATTGGTAGTTAATTAATTGTATGTATGTGAATTAAATGTCGTTACATAAATTTTAAAGATAAATAGAAAGAAAATCTTTCAAATTATATTAATATAAATATACAACAAATATATGAATTGAAAGATAATTACTTCTTATAATATCTTTAATTTCTTTTATCATACTTGTGTATTAATGTATATATTTTTTATTTGCAGTGTTATGAAAATTTGATTACAAACATCACATTTAAAAAAAAATGGATTTAAAAGCTGTAGTTGTTTCTGGAGAAGCTCCAGAGTCTGACGATGATGCATCAAACATTGTCACTGTATGTAACATGTATACATATATACCTATATACATATTATACATATTATACATATTATACACATATACCTATATACCTATATACCTATATACATATTATATTTTATACTAAAAGTTTTTAATTTAATACATAACATGAAAAGTGTATTGTCTACAAATTTTATTACATGCAGGGCCTAGGATTCCCTACAATGCGAACACCATCCACATATTGCGGTACCATTATCTCAGGCGAAGCTCCAGAATCTGATGATGGTAACTTTTATTGACTCTTTTTAAATTTATAAGGAACTAATTAACATTCAATTTTTATTCACAGATTTAACAAGTTTAAGTAGTATTAGTGGAGCGATAGATGCCATGGCATGTCCTCTTTACACAGATCTTAAAATACCAAGATCTAAAAAAAATTCTATCAAGTATAATAGTTTACTTCATAAAAAGTTATGTAAGTGATTTAATATCTACTTATAATTCATATTTCCTAATTATATATTTTCTATTCATTAAAATATCAAATATTGCAAGCTTATTGAATAAAATGTTTACAAAATACAAATTTTATTTTTGTTAACATTCGTTTATTAATATTACAGCAGTACAATGTGCGTAACTATAGCTAAACAGTATTATGAGATTGTTCATGTGTGGAATATCGATAACTTATTTTCCAATTCGTATCTCTAAATCAATTTCGATTTACTACACAGTTACATTCGCATAATTACAATGTTTATCTATAAGTTATATTGTACAAAGAATTTTCTTATAAGTTCTTATAAAACAGCATTTATGAAAGACATTAAATTATATTTTAAAACATAAAATCGATATATGTATATACGTATCGCTTATTAATTTTGAACATCATTTAAATTGACATATGTTAAACAGACGAATGCAATGAAATCTTGGATAGAGACATTCTGCAAATGACCGAGGGCGCAATCACAACCAGCGTACAAGAATTGTCAGCTATTAACCGACAATTGCTGAGAAGTGAATTGGTGTTACAAGAGGCTGTGTGTCAATTACGCAATGCATCCGGTCGGGTGAAGGATGCCTCCGACGCTCTACATCAACTCATAGACGACAACTTCTTGCATTCCGTTAAAATTTAATTTTTATTAAGTGCATTTCTATTCTTAAGATATACATGTAGCAATGAGTAACAGGTATGTGCTTACAAGAGACATCACACAACTGTCCGGTACAGATTTGATTTTCCGTGAAATATGTCATTAAAATCTAAGAGACACATTTTTTTTATGTGTGCGCTAACTCATGTTTAAAGAGTGAAACACTCCTTTGAAAAAAAAAACGATATTTCTATTTTGAACCGAATGCTGGAAATATAAAAAAATGGAAAAAATTTTTTTAACAAAAGTTGTACGATTTTAAAGTATTTCAATGCTGTGAAGAAAAAAAATTTTAATTTTTTTGTTTAACAATTATTAACAAAAAAATTAAAAATTTAATTTTTTTCACAACTTTTTTGTTTAAAACATTTTTTTTCATCTTTTATACTTCCGATGGTATTCGGCTCGAAATGGAAATATAGTTTTTTTGAGTTGACGCACGTATAAAAAATACGTATCCTTTAGATTTTTGTGTTTAACAACATATTTCACGGAGAATCAAATCGGTACCAGACAGTTGTGTGACGTCCCTTGTTAGTATATAATGTCATGGTACCGTGCATTAGATGCCGGCATTAAAAAAAAATGCGCTTTCCTCTTTGAGATCTGGGACATTGTTGAGCATTAATCGATCTTCCCTTTAACTGGCAGTACTATTTAATGCGTCCTTTTTATACTTTCCAACGCGTTGTCTCGTTTGTCTCGAGAATATCAATCACATCAATTTATTATAAACTAATATCCTAAGATCGATCTGTGGAACAAAATGTTGCGCCTGATATTTAACGATACATTTGATCATACAGTGAGATAGCAAATAGTTCAATACTGGCTATTGTCTTGCCTACCATTTCGTAAATTTCAATCAGAGTGGTGGCACAAATTCTAATACAAATATGTATAATGCGATTATAGTGCGCAAGAGACTGGTGATAATTATATATATTACGATATATGTATATATATATATATATATATATATATATGTATATTAAAGAACGTCACGATATTGATATAGAGCATTTCTGCGGAGAGTAGACATACACTTTCGTTACAGTTTTAAAAAATTTATAGTAAATGTATATATTTTGATTTTGTGATTTTCAAAGAATACATGAATGTAAATATGGCATCGCTCGTTTGAATTATTGATTATATAATCATAAATAAAATTAGAATAATATTTAATACCTAGTGTGTATGCATAGTCTTGTCAGAAACACTTATGTTCTTTCTTTGCAGATTACCACGTGTTCTTTTTCTTTTTTTTTTTATCAAATAGCACAATTTTACTTGGTATCAAAGGGTTGATATCGACTTTTTTTGCTATTATGTCGCTAATGTTAGTGTACAATGAATTGGTGATATCAATGGTGGTGGTTTTCGTTTTCTCTATAAATTCAGTCTTAAATATTCCATCGATCTTCGTTGAACCAAATTTCAGTATGACGTATCTAAGTACAAAAATCCCATAAACAAAACCCGTTTCGCTAAGACTTGATATGGCAATATTGCGACGGGAATATCCATTCTGAAATGTGTTACTTACGCGCGGCTTGGCTTTCTTTCTTATGTATTATTCAAATTAGCAGCTAAATTGCGCGGGTAAATTTCTGCCGGTATAGCAAGGTAATCTCTCTTGGATGTTATATTAAAGCAATTCCGTACGCTCACTAAGGATGGAAAGTATTGCCAAAGCATAGTTGTGCCACTGAATCTCGTATGTATATAGATTAAAAAAATTCTACAAAAAACTTAGAGTTACTATTTCCTCTAAGATGCGAAATCTATTACTATTATCATTTTTTATTATTATTATTATTATTATTATTATTGATGTTACGGTAGTAAATTATTGGGCGAACGTAAACTACTTGTGTTTCGTGTCTCTGTACAATGTCTTTGTCTCTGCGTTTCTTCGTGTTCTTCGCGTACGCGAGAAATAATATAAGATTCTCCTCACTGACACAGCTGCGTTCAGCTTGAGCGACTAATGCTTGTCTCAATTATTCTCAGTTTGTGTAAATAGCGATGGGCTCAATTCCAGAATAGGATCAGAGTTTGTTGTAGTTGACGACCTTTATAGAATATGCGACGCCGCACTCTATACATATTTGCTAATGTGAGGGCGCCCACCCCCCACATGGCCTACGCTCGCTCCATCTCACCACCGCTCGCGTACATCTGGAGGAGAGCCATGGATTCCTGCGCTTGCCGTTTTTCCACTAAGAATCTACCTGAAGCTTCCTTCAGCTGCTCGAGGAAGAGTCTGTAACAAGATTGGAACAGAGAAATTAATGATGATGTCCTAAGACAATTACTTGATCAAATATCATAAGGTAATAGAAATATTTTGATGATAATATAGAAAGTATATTATCTTTGAATAACAGAGGTGAATAATTTAAGCTCTAATTAACTTACTATTAACTATTAATTAACAAGTAGTACTTTGTTAAGATGAATAAAATTATCAATAATTTTCAATTTTAATGATTAATGATTCTTCATTTATTGTTTTTGTTATTTTTTGTTGATTGACATTTGAAGAATTGTATAGTTAGAAAGTTGATCGAATTAATCATATTAAGTTGATCATATTAATCAAAGTCACTCTGATTGTCTATTGCTTACCTGTCAGGCACTATGTCGCCTAAACTATCAGGGTCCATATCACTGAGTGTTTCCAACTCGGTTCCTCCTAGGAGTGAGATATGCGACGGGTCGCTGTGCAACGACGAGACCAGGGGTTCAATGAGCGTTCGCCGTCGTCGAATCTTGTCGACTTTTGAACCACCTTCGGCGTTATCCACATTATCCACAACGATGCAACGAGACGCTGTCTTGCTGCTGCCTACAGCAGCCCATTTTTGATCACCATGCAGCACCATCAAGCTTGTGTTTCTTTCTAACGTGGCAAAATATTCCTCGTCGTCTACCTCTGTTCCTGTAACATTTCAGTATGTAAAAGTGAAAAAGAGTCCATCCCTTATATAAATAATTATAGTGATTGATCCTTACAACACATTTGTTCTGCAACAAATTATTATATACATCCAATATCAAAGAGATATTAAAACTAACAATTGCTATATGTTGTAACATGAATGTTTCCTTACCATCCTGTTCAAGTACGATCGTAAGATCCGCATCCACGGGAAATGCCAGTCGATTGCGTGCGACGTTAGTCAGCTCCTTCAACGACGAGGCGGTGATACCCTTTCTTCGTTCTCTGGTGTGATCAACTATCTTGTAAGGATTGCCCACTCCCTGCGTGACTCCAGTTGTTTCCGACATATTTCTTCTGCACAATCGGTGAACGAGAACAGATTTTAACTCTGCTAATCGTTGATGATTAATTCTGTTCGGTCTCACGATATTGGGAATCCCCGACGCCCAAAGATAATTAAGCAACAATTGTCTAAGTCAGAAAGGATTTATTCTCTTGAAGAGAATTGACTGCTGCTAAGGCCTGATTCTCGTTGCACATTAGTTGGTCCGTGTCTTGACGATGTGTCGGGGAAATTCGAGTGACCTATGCATTCGATGATGACAGAGAAAGGAATACGCCCTTACGCGTGAAAAATGTAACGAACACAATTACGACGAACACGGTGTGTACAAGCGCTGTTTCTTATTTTTTCAGCGTCGAAGAATAGCTTTTCTTGACGATTATGCCCCAGATTGAAGTTGTATCGCTGTCCGCTGATGATTCCCCGGATAAAAAATTGTATCGCTCGAAAGAAGCAAACAGGTATGAAAGGGCAGTGCTCAGGATTGCGTTGGATTGACTTGAAGAATTAACAAAGACTTGAGCAAGACCTCTCCTTTTTCTCTCCTTCAACAATTCACGCGGATAAAAAAAAATGAATAGAAGGTGGAGACAACGGCGATTATGCGACGCGACAAAGATAGAAAGAAAGAGAGTGATGTGTATATGATGCCTTGAGTGACTGAACTGACCGTGTGTCAACCCAACACTGGGTCAACGGTGCAACTACCCCTTCTATTTATACCCCCTGTAGACTCTCTCGCAGGTATATACGCGCGAAACGAGAGACACCCCGACACAGCATCTACCCCACCCACTTCTGCCTATCCATCCAACCCTCTGCTGTAGCACCCCTACACGGAAATCAATAATCTACCCCACTCTATTCGCAGCCGCGCTCATTTTTTATCAGCGCCGACGAGAAATTTACAAAAATACTCCGGCACGACCGTCACCAAAGAGGGCCGATGCAAAATGCACAGATTGATGAGATAATTCACGACACGTGTCAATCGATCCACTTCTTTGAAAATTAAAGGAGATTAAAAATAAAAATAATTTTGCGAATCTGCGATATCCAGATATATTGTTCAGATAAATATATACGAAATCGGAACGGATATTTGTAATTTTATTTAAAAAATGAACAGATAGATATAAAACTTCTCACTATTTTGCACTATTTTGAAATTATAATATAAAAATTACACGTGTCATGTTATCAAAGAACAATGATTTAATATACAATAGAAAATTTTATGTACTTTTTATTATTTTAATAATTATGGTATACATATACAGAATAATTAAACAGAATAATTAAAATTCATTACAATGATAAATTAAATTTTATATATAACATTGTATATATGTTCTATATTTTTAAATCATTAATCTAAATTAATTTAATTATCATATATACAAATTCTATTTAAATTTTGTTGTAATATATATATTGTAATATATATATTCTTGCATTATTGTTATTTATTATTTAATGTTACAAAGAAATGCAGAATTTAATATTAATTATTAAGACTATAAATTCGATTCTCAAATATTTCAATCCGCTAGAAGTTTTAAATTTAAGGCACAGCACTGTAGTTATATTTAGATGTCAATGAGACTAGATACTGTTTTAAGTTTAAAGTTAGCTCAGGCATAGCCCAGTTAGGGTTCCTCAGTGAGCAACATCAATTTATTCGAATGGAGTCAATTACGTTTTGTTAAAATTTTGATAGAAAATCTGAATCAAGAATGCCGTCAAATGGAAGCAAAGAGGCCGACGACAGTCAAACATGGGAATTAGCAGAGAGGTGTCTATTACCTATTGCATTTTCACATGCAATTGCAGTCATCCTGGCAACTATATTAAACACCTTTGGGATCTCACAGACATCTAGCTTTGTTCTCTTTTTGTTGCTATTGGTCATATCCGTAGGATCCACATTGTTCTATCATAATCTAAAGGTAAGCTATTTGCATTGTATAATGCAAATCTTCAATACATTATTCATTTTTTTCCCAATAATTTTATATAAAACTTTTTACTACAACTACATAAAAAATTGTAAACCTTTTTGACCTTCAAAATTACATTAAAATACATATCGCACTCCTATAATGAAAATCATATGTCCTTCTCAACCTTTTATAATGTCATATGCTTGAACATTTGAAAGTTCAAAGGCCCTCTATATTGGAATTCTCATAGAATTTTACACTAGGCCTGATTAAGACCTTTGACCTTTTTTAACAAACGTTGCATAATGCACCTGTTATCACTACCTACCATACTTCCTGCTTCATACGTTCTCTCTTTTTTTTTTTTACAAAGGACTTTGAGATCGTCATCGCCCGATCAATGGCTTTCAATGGATTATCAAAAGCATTATAAAGCTTCATTACATCAGTTCATGATTCAATAAATTATAAACACTATATTTTCCTAATAGTCTACTTGATGCAACAGGTTACTGCAGCAGGAAAGGCAATATTAATCACAGGTTGCGATTCGCGGGTTGGATACGCTTTAGTTAAACAGCTAGATGATTTGGTAATTATATGTGAAAACATATATGCTCGTATGACAATTGAATAATTTAAAAAATATCTGTGATCTCTCTTTCTCTTTTTTTAAGGGCTTCACTGTATTTGCTGGATTCAATAATAAAGTCGAGAATGAAGATATCATGCAGAAGTTAAAAGACCACGCGTCTGGAAGATTGCACGTGTTACAACTAGATATTACCAGCGAACGTGATATACATTCGACTTTCCTTTACGTCAACGAAAACTTGCCTGACGGAGCTCCTGGTATATCGCCCTATCTCTTAAAGCTTCCTGAGATTATCGGTGTAACGGATTACTTCTACGTCATCGTTGCTACGTTATTTCAGGATTGTGGGCACTCGTGCATGCTGCTGCTTGGGTGACTCTCGGGGAATGCGAGTGGGTGCCCCCATCTGTTCTCAAGCGAAGCATAGACATCAATTTCATTGGCCTAGCGCGTTTAACACAGGTACTGTAAAATATTACAAAAATGTCAGAACGCGCAATATTCTCTTTTCTTTCTTTGTAACAGGTATTTCTTCCTCTGGTTAGGAGATCAAAGGGCCGAATCGTTCTTATTAGTAGCCTTCTGGCACGGATACCAAGTCCCGTCCGAGGCATTTATTGTGCCCTTAAGGTAAATCCTCTTTGTCATGCGCATAATTAAGCGTGGCTTGTCTATTTGTATATATAATCATAAGACTGGAAGGACATTAATAAAGCTTGAGTAGATCAATAGAAGATTATAAATATATCTTAGGCCGCTGTAGAAGCTTGGGGATCATGCCTAAGACTGGAGATGCGGAGATGGGGTGTCGACGTTGTAATTGTCGAGACCGGAGAATATGTCTCTGGTAATGCATGGCTGAAGGATAATACTGCGCTGCTCGAGCAAGCCAGAGACATGTGGACTCAACTGGATCCTCAAACTCGCAAAGAATATGGTCAAGAGCTATTTCAGGCAGAAATGCTGGCTCTGGAAAAGTATACGCAGGGACCAGAAGCTGATTTAACAGCTGTCACGAGAACTCTAATGGATGCTGTAGTAAAGACTTTCCCGATGCGGCGGTACACACCTGTAACGCGTAGTGAAAGAATACAGGCATTGTGCAATCATTACCTACCGAAACCAATCTATGACATATTGTATACAAATTGAATATATCTCTTGTATGATACATACTGACAATCAGAATATGATTAGGAAGATACATTCTTCGGATAGACGACATTATAAGAATAAATCTTAGATGAAACAGAGAAGCAAGAATCTTTTTTTAGCAGATCGCGTAATCATTTGAAGCACTGCCTACGCAAAACAGCTGCAGAAAGATATTGTACAAATTTAATAAAGTTACTTTATCAAATTATGAAACTTACATTCTTCATGAAGCTCGGATTTTCAAAGCCCCTAAATAAAAACAAAGGATATTTTTTTTTAAATTCTACTCTATTGGATTTTAATCTGATTCAGCATAAATACACAATCCATGTTTTGTGTCCTTCAATATTTTTAGAATTAGTATGTCAGGGATATATTTTAAAAATAAATAATTTAATGATTTTAAATAAATATTTTATAAACAATTTTAAAGATATATATTGCAAAGTTTAAATTATAGCGTTATATAGCAAAATTAAGCATCCAAAAGATCTACAACGATGTGCTAATTTACATAATACAACTTTCGATCTTTGGTAGACATCAAAAAAGGATTTCTATATTATTCTCATATTTACACATTTGAATTACATTATTTATATTATATATTCCTATATCAATCATGTTGATTTTTTTCTAAGATTAATAAATAACATTCATGAAAAAAGATTTCTAACAAATCTATATTAACAATTATTACATACCTATATAAATACAATTATTTCTGATTTTGCAAAAGCAGAGAGAAACTTGAAAGACCATCCCGGCATTTTTCGCATAAACGCTCGATCGGATAGTCGGATTGTTAGAACCTCGGAAGACGCCATGCATTAGCGGCATCAACATCAATTTTATTAATTTATATGAACTATGTATCACACTGTTTTCAATACTGCGTTGATAAAATCGTAGTGTCGATAAATGGATATCGATAAATGGACATAGTGTAGAATAGAACCAAAAATTGTGGACATTATCGACGAGATCATAAACACTGGTTATATAGTTATTAATATCCACATTTTGTGGGCAAAGAAGCATTTCAAAATAAAAGGTCTGTTCTTTTTAACTGAACTTTTGCACCAGTTCATTTTTCTTCCTCTTTTTTTTTGTCCTGGAGAGAAAAGGAAGAAAAATGAACTGGTACAAAAATTTAGCTAAAGAACAGGCTTTAAATCCTGGGCATGGCCGCTCTCACTGCTCTCAAGATTCTGTTTCTAGCTCTAATAGAGGGCGACTCTGGTGAATTTCGCGAATGCAAGGTACAAGAAATTGAAGAAAAACGAGACGTCTACAAAAAACGCTTGTTCTTTCTTTTTTTCCACGAGTTCCCGCGAAATCTCTTGGAGGTGTGTCGGGATATTCGCGCGTCTCGTTCAGTCTCGTTGCAAATTATTGACTTGAGGCTATCTGGGAATTTCTCGAAAGCTTATTCCCAACCCAAAGGCTTCATGGTGTGCATCATCAATGGTCGCGACGCCAATCGGTCGGTCTTACCGTAACTTTAATCGCGAGTATCACCTCTAAACGTTTCCGAGAGCGAGTGCTACTCACGACAGCGTCAACATCAGGAATACTTCACAGAGATCTTTGCTCTGTTTCCCCAGTGAAAGTTTTTTTTCCCTATTCAAGTGTCGTAATACAAAATGGCATTGCCAGCGAATTACAAGCAAGTCGCGATGGCTACCTCGAACATCGTAGCTTCCAACCGTAAGTTGAATTTCAATTTTTGTTCTCTTCCCGATTTGGAATTGACAGTTTAATTTTGAAGCATTTAAACTGTATATTTGTAGAACGTATGAGAGCATCTGGTGGAAGTTCGAGCAGTTCAACAAATAGTGTAAGTAGACAAACTTATAATAAAATATTCTTGTATGAGTCTTGAATTTAATTGAGGCAATTTGTTTATGTTTAGAAAGATGCGCAGAGTCCATTTATACAAACTCCCCATAGTCATCCAGGATTTACGCCCCAGAAAGTTGGAAAGAACACTAATGTATGTATTTTATTTTATACAAAATTTAAAAATATATACATACTCTGTGATAGATTATACAAAATATATCAGTATAATTTACATTATTAAAAAGATTTATTATTTATAAAGTCTGATAATATTTATAATTAGGCTGACTCTCGTATGCCAAAACCACCCAAGCCACCAGAAAAACCTCTTATGCCATACATGAGGTACAGCAGAAAGGTATGGGATCAGGTTAAAGCTCAGAATCCTGAGTTAAAGCTATGGGAGATTGGTAAGATTATTGGGCAAATGTGGAGAGATTTGCCAGAGGAGGATAAGACAGAGTTCATTGAGGAATACGAAGCTGAGAAGGTGCACAAAATGCTATTACATTTTTATGCAAATTCTATTATATTTTTATATAATTCTAAAAGTTACTCAATTCATCATACATTATTTAACATAGGTGGAATATGAAAAAAGTTTGAAAACTTATCACAATTCACCTGCATATCTAGCTTATATTGCAGCTAAAAATCGTGGCAAATCTGGTAAATATAACAAATATTGATTTAAAACTCGTAGTAAAATCTATAATGGTTAAATAACTTTATAACATGTCTTTGTATTTAACGCAGCATTGTGTGCTGCACAACAAAATAATGATGATCGAGAGAGTCACGAACGTTCATCAGGCAGTAGCAAAAGTCAAGCAGCTCAGGATAGAAGAATTGATATTTTACCAGCTGAAGATGATGATGGTATATAAGTAATAGTGATTATAAATGTTTAATGCATATCTATTACAATAGTACTCATTTTAATTAATAGATCAAGATGATGGATATTCTGTGAAACATGTGGCTTATTCACGTTATACAAGAAATCATCGACTCATTAATGAGATTTTTAGCGACACAGTTGTCCCTGATGTTCGCTCTGTAGTCACCACTCAAAGAATGCAAGTTTTACGTCGCCAAGTACAATCCTTGACTATGCATCAGGTAATTAATGTAGTAATATGTTTTATAATAATTAATATCTAATTGAATGTATCGAAATATTTTGAATATTTCCAGAAAAAACTTGAAGCCGAATTGCAACAAATTGAAGAGAAATTTGAGGCAAAGAAACGTAAATTCATAGAAACTAGTGAAATATTTCAAGAAGAATTGAAAAAGGTATACAATCTTTTTAAAGAGATTAATAATATTGCAGAAAACGCAATATAAGAGAGAATAATAATTATCTCTTTCAGCATTGTAAACCGGCGGTAGATGAAGAAACTTTTAACAAAATGGTAGAACGACAGTATGATGCTCTAAGACGAGAAAGACTAAAAGGGACAGAAGAGAATCGTTCGGATGGGCCAGCGTCTAGCGACTCTACTCCAAATTCCACTCCAACTCCAACTCCTGCATCACTTAATGACGAAAGCCAACCTGATGTAATGATACTACTAAATAACACACAGATTCACATAAATATTAACACATTGTATAAAGAAATATTAATATCATCTTATTTGTACAGATCTCTGATAATGATTCGATCGAGAAGAAATCTGGCAACGCTGAAAAACCTAATGTTGAAATGAATAAGAAAATGTCACCTCCATATACCGAGACTAAAATCGAAGCACCATCAGCAGTGCAACAAAATATCAATCAACAACACCCTACTAACTCTGGAATGTATTGCAATAACATAATTAATCCGATTCAACAACATCCGCATCAGCAACAAACGCAAACGCCTCCGATGCAACAACATCCGCCACCGCCACCGCCTCAACATCAACCAACACCTCCTCAACAGCATCAATCTCAGCAACATCAACCTCTCCCACCAATACAGCAGCATCAACCACCACCACAGCCACCTCAACAGCATCAGCCGCCGCCACCACCACCCCAACAGCATCAAGTACTTCCACAGCCACCACCGCAGCAACCGCAATCTCAACAACAACCGCAACAACAGCAACAACCACCACAACCCCAACCGCAGTCACAACAGCCACAGGTAACGGTGATGCCGCCTCAACCGACTACCACAGCCGCGGCAGCGGCTGCAGTCGCGGCAGTAGTTGCGAGTGCAAATGCAACTGCAAATTCGACTCCGCCAAATATGCCACCAGTGTCCACGCCCACTGTACCCATTCAACATAATCCCCACCAACAAGGAATGTTGCCAAATCATTCGATGCCACCACATCAGAGTGCGCAAGGAACTCAGAGCACGCAGATTTTGCCACCGCAGGGACCACATGCTCCGCAGATGATGCCACCTAATCAAGCTTACGGTCAGCAGTATCAGTCCGGACCAGGCCCACAACAACCGCAAAACGTTCCTTTAGCTCCGAGACCGCCGCATCCCACTTATAGCTATTCTCAGCAACAATCATATCATCAACCTTATCCACAATATACTCATCCATATTATCATCAGCCGTATTCACAGTATCCCCATCCGATAAGTCGGCCACATGGCCACGGTCCACATAGTCCACACAGTCCGCATTATCATCCGCAATCACCTCATACAGTTGCTCCTGAAAGTAATAACGTTGGTGCCAACGTCGCAGGCACAACTGCCGTAGCTCCCACACCTGGACCCGATACCAACAATCCTCCGTATTCTGCACCCGCAGGACACTGTGAAAATGAACGTTCCGGTCCGCCAGAAAATCAAGAGGGTCAGGTAGATGCTAAATCGGGATCTGCTTAAATATTTTTTTTATTTTACAAACGCTATTCTAGATTTCCGCGTTTACATGATATATCTATATTTATCTCTATATCCTTGCGCCAGCAAGAACTCGTTTTAATTTATATGATAAAAATATAATAATAAACTTGATTTTATTACGATCCATAACACTGTGGACACAAACATTATCCTGAAATTGTTCCATATGAAATGATTACATGGTAAAGTAAAATTGAATAAAAGAACATATGTATACAAAATGGCTCTTTGATTATATCCTGAATTCACAGTTCAATCAGTCTCACTTCACTGCTTTCATTTGCCAAAGTCCATCATTCAAATAATGACAGTTTTCGATGCCTACTCCTTTATTTACCTTGATGCTACAAATTATAAATTAAATATGGGAGAGAGAAAGAGAGAGATTAAAAGCACACATTAAGAAAATATTTTTTACTTACATGTCTTCTGTTGACAATGTTGTAATTCCAACAGCTAATGCATGTTGCTTGCCTTCAGCCATAACGGCCTACAATTTGAGTTAAGAATTTGTATTTCATTGTCGAAAAAATAAAATAATCGTATTACAATTTTTGAGATTTATATTACGCTTAAAAGGATACGACAACTGTTTTTTTATCTACAGCCATCATCTTTGCACCCTTTGACGTTAAACCAGGACACATTATATTTGCACCGCTAAGAACAAACCTAATGGCACCTTTATCTACTTGTTGCATTGGAAGAAAGAATGGATCTGAAAAAATGTATGTATCATAATAAAAAATATCATAATAAAAAATTAAATTTTTTTTTCTTATTTGAGCAAGCGATGAGAAAGCTCACACTTATGTAGTAATCTCAAAGTAGGCATCCATGGGCCCTCACGTTGGCGAAAGAATAACAGATCTCCTGCTGTGTTCACTATGATCTCTATATGATCGTGGCTAATCAAGGAAAGAAAATGATTAAATTACGAATGAATTTCTTACATATGCCATCATAACTCACCATTTCACAATGCGAAAAGCGTCTTTCTTTGGTATTATAACATCTATATGGCTCTCTAGATGAGGATACAACTCCAAGAGCTTTGCACGGATTCCTTTCTGTACAGACGACTTCAATTGTTGAACGCCAGAAACACTGTCCTTTTCGTCGAATCTAAGAGTTGAGATTTAAGTGATATTTTGAATACAAATAATTAGCGAATATTTCAGTAAGTCATGAATTATAATGGAAACTTGAATATTTAATGTTTATTAGAACTGCCCCTGGTAAAAATTTTTCTCATAATTTTTATATGAATTGGAAACATTTTTCATACAAATGAAGAATTCTGAAATATTTTGAAATTTTTTATCTCATAATTTTTAAAAAATATTAAAAAATTTTTTAGATTTTATAACATTTCATCAGAAATTATACTTACATAAAATCTTAAAAATCTTATTTCATAAATAATACATATGAAAAATTATGAAAAAAAATATAAATTTTCTGAGAAATAAATGTTCCAATTCATATAAAAAATGTGAGAAAGTTATAAAATTATAGAGAAATTCTGAAAAATTCTAAGAATTTTCACCAGAGTGGTATTCTTGAAAAAAAATGAAATGTTGGGCACTTTCTCATCACAAAATATAAATTTTAATTGTTTAAGGTGGTTCTTTAGTAAAGTGCCGAAAAATTTAGGCTACCTTATTAAGATCCATCTAAAATTACAAATATCTGCATAATTTGGATAAAATATTAAAATGACGTGTATATCTTAATGAAATAGGAACGTTAAGTAAATCAAAAGCTGCATCTTCATCGAATAAAAACAAGATGAGATTATGTTTATTTTTTGAGGTTAAATTTATATGTAAGTTTATGCACATAAATATCTTTCCAGAATGGCTGTTAACTATTACTTTTTTGTGCATTAAAATCGTAATTTTTTAAACTATTATAATCTCATTTTGGAGAAAAGTCTATGGTAAGATTTGTGTGCAGTTAGTCGAAGTGTCTGCGAGCCTTATCTGTCACTATATTATACATGAAAGATTATATTTTCAACAATTTTTTTCTCTTATTTCATCATTAACCTACAGTAAAATTTTACACAGGTCAATTTCGGTACTTCAACTTCATTATATTAAAAAATTAGATATTTCTATGGTAACTCGATTTACTAAAGAACCATCCTAAATACATCGTATTGCTCAAAATATTATCCTTTTATACTTTTATAATAAACAGCACATACTTCTTAAACATTTTCTTGATTTTTGATAACACCGTCTTGAGAACTTCTAGACAATGCATTCAATTAGCCGGTCATTCATGAAACGCTATTTCGTTCTAGATTCTAGATACGTTTTCTTAGCAACGTCTTGACTTTCGTCATGCGTAAGTATATCTTTTTTTTTGCTAAAAATGCGGAATGCATAATTTTATTTATAGAAATTATTAACACATTTACAATTTTCAGTTTTAAGTTTTTTCAATATTATTTATATTATTTTACCAGATTTCTCAAAGAATTATACACAGCTTTGAGAATTCGAAATTTCTTTCTCTATCTAGATGCGTGCAAAAAATTCAGCGAAATCAAGGTTAGGTCGATCAACAACACGTCGCAATTCGTACTATTCGCACATACATGAGCTGCGTTCAGCAGAACGTTTATTTTGCACCAGAGGTCACGTTGGGCGCCGCACATTGCATGTCTTTATATTACAGCAATCTCTCACGCACCTATGGCCTAGTTTCCATCGAGAGTTTAAATCAGATCAGAATGTAAGGACCAATCTACTACAGTTGAGATTCCCTGTTACAGACGAAACGATATAAACGATAGATCATAACGATGTCAGAGGGTCGATTATGTATCTTCAAATGAAGTGAAAATTACAAAAGTAAGCAAATTCACTAGAGTATTCATAATTTAATTGATCAATATCTAGTAACCTTGCTCACTTTTGTAATTTTCACCTTCTTTCAAAATTCACAAAGGATCGATTATAAATTTTGTAACTTTTACCTTGTTTGAAGAAACAGAATCGACTCCCAGAATTGATCCCCTGATAATTTCATTGGTCAAAATTTAGTAAATTTGTTCACTTTTGTAATTTTCACCTTGTTTCAAGATACAGAATTGATCCCCAGATATTGTACGTGATGTGAATTCTACATTTCAAATACATTAAGTTCATTCGGAGCGATCCTGAGCTCCCGGAAACAAAACGAATAATACTATTGTTACGTGCTGTAGTGTCTTATTGAAAGTAGCTTTCCATTCTATTTTCTTTTAACAATGATAGAAAATAGGCTGCGGAATCAGCAGAATGTTTATTTTGCAACTGTTGGAAGTTTTCTTCGCACTGATTGGATTATGCTTTTAGATTAAAAAAAATGGTCCTATCACAGAGAATCATAAACATGCAAAACTGTTGTGTTCTGCTGAATCGTGTTCTGTAGCCATAATCGCGTATCATGATTCCAATAATATCATGGTTTACCATTGATCGTTAATAGCTGATTGCGACTATTTTCGAAAAAGTACTGCCCAATCACTTTTTCTGTACCAGAACAATCATTTTTTGATCATAAAGAGGTCATAAAGATTTCTCATTATTTGAAAATAATATTCTTCAACGTAGTAATGATAATTTTAATCATAATGTAAGAATACCAGATGTTTCGTTCCCGCTGGGTTTATTTGAAGCGACCTCGAGCAGCTCCCAAGAGACAAAACGAATAATGCTAATGAATTTGTTGAGGAAATTCTTGACAAATCGCATCATATTGAAAAATGATGATTTTAAGTGGACATCACGTTCATTAGATTTGATGGGACTTTTTTTGTGATATCTCAAATCCAAGGTTTATGCCAACAAATCGGAGTCCCTCCGTGCTCTTAAAACTAATATACGCCAAGAAGTAGCCAAAATACCGGTCGATATACTCCAAAAAATGATGGAAAACGTCGAAAAATACTCGTCGAATCCACGTTTGCATCCAAGTTAAAAGCAAACATTTATGAGATATTATTTTTAATATATGAACAAAACAACTTTCCATAGATTGAAATAAATGTTTTTTGCCACTAGAGCTCAAAAAAATTAGGTGTTTTCATTTTATTTGAAAAAAATGGATCACAAAGATGACGCACCTTATACCTTTATTATATTTATATTATATTTATCCTGCTGTTCCATGTTTAAATCATTGCGTAAGGCCGGATTCAGGCTAGAGTCCCACGAGGTGTATTTATGGTGTAAACGCGTAACCAATCGCGCTATTGTGGTTTCGTGTCTTACTGATTACTGATTGATTACACGGCAAATTTGCCTTATGGGACTCTACCCTCACAATTTGATGGAAAAGCGGAAAGCGGAAAAACGGAAGCCAATCAGAACTCGCAGTAATAGTAGGTGGTAAATTTCGCTATTTGCTTCTTTCTGTGAATTCTGATTGGTTTCCGTTTTTCCATCAAGGTATGAACCCAGTCTAAGATGTCGCTGGATTAATCCAACTTTTCAAGTGTCGCTGGCGATAAGAAAGTGGACAAATTGAGAGAGAATTCAGTCACGTGATCATTTATCGCTGCGATAAGCGACACCATGAAATTTTACCTTAAGACGTAAACTTAAACCGATGAGCCAATCAGGATATTGCTTTAGGTTACGTAATCTAAAGAAAATGGAAATAACAGTAAATTTATCCATAATCTCGCAATTAGATAAATTTTAACCGATTGAAACTCATCTTATGGATAAATTTACTGCTTATGGATAAGTTCACATCTTAAGATTACTGTTGCAGAAATTTTGTCTGTGGCAGCTCTAATGATTTATTATAGAAGGCCTATAAAAAATTCAGCCAATCAGAGTTTTTTATTTTATGAAAAGGAAAGAAATGAAGAACGTTATTGGTATATTTTCTTATGTATTACGTATTATATGTTATGCAAGAGTTTGTGCTTTCTGTTTTAAACGGAAATAATTGAATTCAAAAAGTATGATTTCAATCGAGGCACTTTTCATTATAATATTTAAATATAAGTTAATTCTAAGACTCCTTACTAATTAAGAAAATAGATAAAAGAAAATAGATAAAATAGAGCAACAGGAGTCAGATGTGATAATTGTTGCGCAAAACAATATGAATACAAAAGTCCTTTAAATAACCCATTTACATATTTCATCTCATTTTCGAGCCATCCTCAGAGACAAATTAATTTTATAATTGCAATACCTACAAACTAATTCATTCCAGTGAGCCACCTCCACATACTTACGGAAACTTTAATATTGAAAAATGACTCTAATGACAATCAAAATTATGTTCAAATTTTATAGGTTCAAAATTTGGATTGTCATTTTTTAGAGTCATTTTTCAATATTAAAATTCCATAAGTATGTGAAGACTTTTTTTTTGAAATTCATATTTTATCTTTCTAAATCAATATTTGTTTTTTGGTTTTTTTTCATAGAGATGATTTTTTTTTAATAAAACATTGTTTTACTTTTGTTGCAATAATACTTCCAACTTCATTGAAATAATGATACTTTTTGCAATCAACGATTATGAAATAATTTTTTTCTTAAAGCTCATGCTTTTCTTTTTCTTAAACAATATTGTTTTTACTTTTTGGTTTTTCTTGGAAAAGATATAATTTTTTAAACAGAACACTGTTTTATGCATTTTTCTAAAAATTTTTTCACATTTTTGGTCATAACTTTTAACATTGATATCGAAACCTTTTCTTTAGTTTCTACAGATATGGATTGCAGTTCGATATTTATATTTTAAAAAATTAATTAAAATTCAATCAAATTTATGAAAAATAAAGCGAAAAAAAAGTTTTGAGTCCAAGTCTCGTGTAAAAAAATAGATTTCGGATGTGTAAAATTGATAAATTGAATCTTACAATAAGATTTTTAATCATATAAACTTTTTATTTCTAATATAATTTTTTTTCACGAGTCAAAATATTGATAATTTTATTTGTGTTAGGAAAACACTATAGAGCTATTGATAAGCTAATCATTAATTAAGTTTATCGGAGTTATCATAGGGAAATAAAAACATTAAATTTTTTAAGTAATTTTTTTCTTCTTGAGGAAAAAATCAATTATATATAAATTATATTAAATTGAGATTTTTTTATCTATAATAAAATAATTTTCTTTTTTCTCTCCAAGATTAATTTATTGAATTCTAAAGAATATAAATAACGTGAGTTTGTATAAATCAATCTTTTTCCATGCATCTTACATTCTCGTCTCGCAAGCAACGTTCGAAGAATCGAGGGAAAAACAAACATGTGATGTTGTAAATGTAAAGCAATGACAATGCATCTTGCCATTTCGATTAATATTCTTTCAGAATGAAACCGCAAGATAAATTCTTAATTCTTAAGGACTATTTTAGCGATATCAGAACTTTCAAATAATACAAATGATCCTGCGGCATTTGAAATTCCAAAAGATATATTTATTATAGAATCTATCTACCAAGATCTTCCAAGATCCAGCATTCAAATAATTTATACTGCATTTCGAAATCATTATTTCCGCATTCTGCAGTGTTGTAGTAAAAATACATCTAAATCAATGTACAATTAATGACGTGTATACGTCCGCATTAATGCTGTTCTTCATAACAAATATAATTATGCAACTCGTATATAAATATATACGTATCTTCACAAGTACTTCAAAACTAATTGATCACTGCATTATTATCTAAGCGATCTAATAATGTACAGCGGCACAACCTTTCGTGCGTATTGCTAGAAACACCGGGTGCAAGGCATCGTAGTTTTGTTTAAACAATTCCAGGTGTAATGATGAAACCAATAATGTTGTAATAATCCCTCGTCACGACGATGACCTTCGCGAAAGACGATACAATGATTTTCTATCAATAGTGACATCGCGTCAAAGATGAGGATCCTAACGAGGGGGACAGAGAAAGAAACGTAGGAAATTAAAGATTGATATGGTATAGATAGTAGAATAATCAGACCACTACAAATTGTTCTCTTGTAGCGAATCGCAGTATACACAAATGAAAGCAGCACTCGGTAAATTCACCCATCTTACAATCTCAATATTTACACACTTCTTCTAATAACAATAATCCTAAAAATATTTTCTATATTCAGTTACAGGTGTACGTAAGAATCAGTTGAATCGTATGAATTGAACAAACGAGTCAATAGTCAAATACGACGCCAGAGCTTCAATCTCCCGAAGCGATTTGTTAACATCACTTCCAGTAGCGTCTAGATTCTAGAAAAAACTAGCGAGAGATAGAGATAGAGAGAAAGAAACAAATATTAAATTACGTATTATTTATTTCACACACCACTGAAATTTATATTTAAAAATTACTCCATCTGATAATCACGAATTCTTCTTTTTTATCTCATTTTTTCCTTTTCACATTTTGTCTACGCACGAATTAACGTCAAGCGGGGATGAGAGTGGGAGAGAAAAAAAGGAGAACTCGTTGACCTAGAATAATTCGCGAATTCTAAAAATTATAAAAATCTTAATAGCGTTTGCTTTTTCCCCATACGTCGTACGATGCTATTATGCACAAAAATATCAAGACCCTATGATTTTTACACGGTGATTATGTGGATGACTGTCGCCTTTTTGCTCATTGTTCTAGGTCTTCGGAGTGATACAAAAGGCTTAGTCGTTTGTACGCGCAGAAAATTCCAAAATTTTTACAAAAAAAAAAAAGAAAAAACAAACGATTTGGTCAAGTACTGAACATCATGTTAGTCACGAACTTATACATTTACAAGCAACAAAATACGTATGCAACAATTTTTGTGAATAAATATGTAAATAGAGCCGTATCTTAATTTATGTAACAGATAATTTTAACAGATAATAAAAATTTTGTTAACTTCAAAAATATTTTAAAATAGAAATTTTGTAAATTCTGAAATCGCGAAATACCGATAAATTCTTTAAAAAGGCAATTGCAACACATAGTGAAACAGGAGAAAGAAGGGGGTGAGGAGAGATAGAAAGAGAGGGAGAGAGAGAGAGAGAGAGAGAACATATCCAATATTATTTTTAAATATATAAAGCCATACTTTGATGCGTGCCGAATAAATTAATTTTGTCAATTTTTTGCAAACGCGGATCGAACTGTGGACGATTAACAATCAATATTTAGGCTGCTACGTTCGCTTAAGCGTAAGAATAAAATCTTTGCTTACATTTTTTTTTTCTTTTTTTGTCTAAACGTCAGATCTGTGGCACCATAGGGAATCTCATGGAGTTATAGATGCTGCCACTGGGTCGGCAACAGGTTGTTTGAGGATTGTTCGAACGCCCGGGTGACGGACTCGTGGATTCCATGACCAAGCCATAAGCGGTGCAGCCGCTGGTACTTCTCATGGCAGAGATGCAATGGATTACCGCGCCGTAAACCCTGATCCGTCTCGCCATACTCATCGAGATACGGCGGACAAAGGAAAGAACCGCGATTAGGCGTACGCAGGAAAAGAATCTCACATTCACGTACACGTAGAAATATACCGACGCCGTAGCCGCATTTATTCGCGTGGAACGTGCACGCGCCTACCGTTGTCTTATTGAAATCTATCTGGCAACAGTAGCTCTGCGAGCACAGCATCTCGCCGCAGACCAGGCACATCGTCGGATTACGTGAGTCTTCCCGGTCTCTGTTCGGACAAGTGAACTGGGATATCGAGTTGATGAGTTCACTATAATCCTCTGGCAAATCTATCAGCTTGTTCACCTTCAATGGATCCTTGATAATCGTCAACTTCCTTTCGCCTGACATGTGATTCCAGATGGTAGAATGTCTTCGCCATACAGCCAGCAGCTTCAGGGAGGTCTCTAGATGAGAGTAGATCAAAGCGTCGCAGGTAGTGGGTAATCCCAGGTATTGGCAGAGTTTTTCGTATGTATCACCATGCACCTCCGTCAATTCACTTAGCGGTGGCACATCGGTCACGTAATGAAAATAGATAGCGCAACATCGGAGGAAGGGTCGACAGGCAGATTCTACTCGTCGCCATACGTCACTGGCTTTCTGCTTGTCATAATGCACACCCAGAATGTGGAATAGGGCAAAGTCCATTTTGGTTTCAATATTTTCATCTTCGTTATCATCGTCCTCCATCTCGTTACTATCTAGTTCCATTACGTCGGCGAAGTCAGATGTATACAGAATTTTTGCTATGTGACACAGGAATACGAGCTTGAGCATATGGGAATCAAACACATCGCCCGTAATGATAGGTGGCGGATTTGGGGCCGTCTCGTATTCCTTCGTGTGAAATATGCTCGGCAATGAATTAATAAGCGGTACTAGTACGCCGAATGGATCGATATCGAAGATGCTAGGTCCAGTAGATGGTGCCTCTATCAACATCGTCAACAATGACGCTGCATAAGTTTTGATTTGATGGCGCTGCGACCAGAGGTTTGCACGGTTCGAAAAACTCGCACCCAAGAGAGCTGATAATCGCACGAGGCTCTTGAGACTGTCGCTTTGTCGAGAGGTCATGGAACCTAGCAATGGCTTGTTCATATCCCGCAACAGGAATTCTATCGCATGAATTGTGTATGCTACTGATTTCCAGGCTAACAAAGGCACCTTCGAATCGCCATCGATACTACCAAATCCCTTGTATGTAGTTTTTGCAAAAAGTGAAGCGTACATGTTAATCATAGCCTCCATCCTTCGTGCGAGGTGTGGTCCAGATCGCGAATACTGCGCTTGAAATGGCTCCCAAGCACATCCAATCTCTTGACGAAGGACTTTCATAGGATTGATTATCTTTTCATCCTCCAATGTATCCTCGTCCCTCTCCATGCCAAATTTCCTGTTCGGTTTGCAATCTAACGTGAGTGCCATTACCTTCATCCACGTCTCGAAAGTGATATTCGGCTGAGGTTCCGGAGTTGGTTGCAATATTCCTAAGGGTGGTACAAGCAGGAGAACGGTGTTGCTGAGACATTCACATAATGGACAAAGATATTCATGATTCTCTGCGTCAAAACTAGCCTGTTGTCGTGATCTATAGGGTCGCCGGTTTTCCTTAGCGAGTACGTTGTCGACATAATCTTGCCAGCAGCGAGCGTGCATCACGTGGCCACATGTGCTCGTGTGTGGTGACACGCCCAATTTCGCTGACAGGTACAACGGATCGGGCTCTTGAAAATCGTCACGACATTGGCACAACACGGTGGATTGCTGAACAAACGCAGCCAATACCATTGCCGAACCAGTTTCCGTCACTGCCTGATCCTCTTGGCATAGAATGCAAGTGTACATTTTCTGTTCACACTGCCTATTAGTCTGATTAAAACCGACGGCAATACCTTCCTGAGCAGGATTACCTTCCTGAGAAGAGGTCTCCGTTAAATCCATGGCCGAGCCACAACGAGCGCCTGTTATTTTGACTTCCACACTTGCTACATCAAATAAAGTAGCATTCTTCTTCATGAAATGCTTCTGCATTGCTGCCATTTGTGCCATGATCTTGGCACGTTTCTGAGCTGCCATTTTTGTTCGCCATTCCTTATCCGTTTTTTTGTTGATGTTAACATCATCGCCTGCTTGCTGTTGCTGCTGCTCGAACTGAAGAGGCGCCGGACTGGTCTCTTTCCCAGACAAACTGGCGACCTGGCGATATTTGGCTAAAACCCACGTAAGTAAATCCTTGTGAGCTTCCATGCGCGGACTACTGGTCAGATTTTCCAGCAACTTGTAGATCTTCCATTTCGCTGCTCGCTCGGGAAACGCAAGGAAAGGATAGTAGCCGGATTCCTGTTCCTGTAAAGCATAGCCGATCAAATACAATACTTTGTGCACCTGTGGCTCGGAGAAACTCCTAGCTATGAAATTAAGTGCGCGTTCCAGAACAGTCTGCATGATGTGAAGCATAACGTCGCACTGCAATAGATTCGCTACCAAACTGAAGGACTCCGTTAGTCTAGGCAGCTTCGGCGGTGGACAACATTCCAACTCTCCTTGAGCTTTCCGCCGCTTCCGTTGGACTTCCTCGGACTTGCTGTGTTCTTCCTTCGTATAATGATAAAAGAACACATTGTATTCCGAATACAAGTGCGGATTGAGTTCGTACACACCCTTTGTCGATGTATGTACTGGTTTCTTGAACGTTGCTACTTCGCGTATTATTCTTTCCAATTCGATCTGAACATTGTGCATAACATCCTCCGGTAACGTCTTGCTCAGTTCAGAATGCGAGAGCGGTTTTATGCACAATTGCTGTATAATTTCCTTTTTGAGACGATCATCTGTGGTCACCTGACCAACTCCGGGAACATATCTTTCGCCAATGATTGTGATGAGTAAGCCCAAAAACTCCTCCACTAGATTGATCGTCTGCCGCAGCCTATCTTCCTCTGGATTTTTTAAGGCATTTACCTCGAAGTCTGGTTGTACCCAATTAAGGAGATTAAACCTGTTTAAGACATGAATCAAGAATTCGTTGCTTTCTATCAGCGACGCGCCAACCTGCAATAAAACGATATCTCGATCCAACATCTCGCTACGGCATTTGACATTGTGATAAAAATATAGTTGATTCAGCAAGGAGTAACCATTCCGCCGCCACATGCCCGCGTGCACCTGTGAAATCATGGCCTGTGCCGTCAATACGGGATCGATGATCTGTTCAGGAGTCGGTTTCATTGAATTGTTAAATTCAGACGAATGAAAGTGTAAATTGTATTTTTCCAGATGCAAGAATAGACCGGCGAGGAATCTTGAGAGTGGTAGATGGATAGAAACTGGTTCGGATGCCACATCGTATTGCAGGCATGTTGCGCTATGATTCGCTAGCTCTCGCACTTGGCTTGGCGGTTGCTCATTTGCCTGCTGTTCATGTAGTTTTTTCAGAAGAGATCCGAAGGACTTGATCAGTACAACTCGGTCCGAACTGCACCATTCCAAGGCCAATGTAATGACTGGCGACAGTTTTATGTGCAGATTGAACGCTGATTCCCATTCAGGCTCGTATTCCATATGCTGTCCTTCTTGTCGACGTACTGCGTCCATGCATTGCATGTTGGAAAAGAGATTGAACAGTAGCGAAAGACCTTGCAAGAAGCCACGTCTCAGATCATCTGTCCATTCTTCTGGTTTTGCACTTAGCAGATATCGAAGGTCGTAAAGTATGAACTGCGCCCGCTTGAAGTTATGGTGTGGCATGTTCCTCTCAAACTCAAATTTTCCAGCAGCGTTACATCGTCGGGAGCTTTCGGACATAAACGTGGTTAACAAGTTGAACAGAGCCTCATGCTTTGCGATGAGCAAATGTGCCAGAGTTGGCACGGTGAACAACTGAACAGAGAGTGAAACGATCGAGAATGAATGATCGTGATCGTCCTTAATGAAATCCTTCATAACAGATCCATAATTATTAGTAAATACAATAGAGAGCGCTTTTTTACTCTCATATTCCATGAGCATTCCGTATATGAATAACCTGTGCCATGCTGTTCTGGCGGATTTCCACAGTTGCGAATCTCTTGTGAGTATGCCCTGAACAACTGACTGATCAGGCAGTTTCGTGTTCAGAGCGATGTTGCTAAACAGGACACGAAAACCCTCACAATGACTTATGAATTGCTGCAACCATTTGAGCAGTCTTATAGCAAATGTCTGATGGGCGACTACATGACTATGAAGAACGAGTACCTTGAGTGGTCGATTGCTATGCCTATACGTGAATTTCTCTACCTCACCTTTCAAGTCAGTGCATGGTTTAAATCCTGAGCATTTTATCACGGTTCTACCTTCTCTGTCAACACCAGTCACATATTCAATAGCTTCTTTCTGCGAACATTTGAGAACGCGCATGAGCATGTTTATTACCTGATCAAAGGTATGATGCTCATCGTTGAAGAGCACAGTGCAGTAAGTATCGAAAATATCCAACTGATCGAACGCATACGGATAAGATGCTGATGCTGTGTCTTTAATGCTGAGACTCGGTGGTAATGATACAATGAACCTCAAAGTCAGCAGTTCGTAACAATAATCCAATAATGCTTCGAAAGTCACTACCGCTCTCTCCGCAATATCACCAGGCAGTTTATTACCACGAGACTCCTTCGTCAGGGTTCCTACAACATGCGTTTCACAGAATGGCTCATTTTTCCAGGCTTCTGTGTCACCGCAGTCACAGCATCCGCCTCCATTGGATGTGCCCATTTTGTACTTATGATTTCGATGAGCTGACTGCTTGAAACAGTCGACACAGAGAACGCACGTAGAGTCCATACCACACTCCCTGCAACTGTAGGTTGGTTCACCCATCTTGAACATTCTGCCACATATAGTTGGTGGATTATCCATCTTAGTAAGCTCTTTGAGAATCACCTGTGGATCACCACCACAGATAAATTCCTCCAAAGGTCTCAAAAGCATTCTGTTTGCTGTGTCTTCGTCAATAATCCATTCTAGACAGTTGCCGTTAAGCTCTGGAGTGTATATTTTTGGAACCCAAAGTCGCCAGTATTCTCTAAAGTTAATATTTGTTAATACTCCCTTATTCATCTTCTCTGTCCATACATCTACACATCGTTTGCTTGTATCTGGGAATACAGGTCGCAATGAAGCAAGATTTATCTCTTCAAGGACCAGAGGTAGATGCTGATTTTCTTCTGTACTTTCACCACTCATTTTGTCTCACTTAAATTTGCCACGTAATGTATACTGAAACAGTAAGCACAAAAGAAAACAATGACTCATAAAGAAAATTATCTATCAGAGGAAAAAGATAAATATACATACGTAAGTACTAACAGGATATACACAATACAAATTATTGATATAATCCAAGCACATCTTAAAGTGTCTTTACATGGCTAATTCGGTCAATTCTTTATCACGACAATACATGGCTATAATTTCAATAGCCTTGAGTCTTTCATCAGAGGTTCAGATAAGTACTCTTGTGGAAAATTCCTATTGCACATATATCACCATCTTCAGCAGCTCACAAAATCTGAAATCACAGCCATTTATTGTGAGCCACTCACGTGCCAAACGACGTTTAAATATGGTGTCTACATTTTTAAATATCGCCAGAATATTCCTCATGAATTTAACATTTCTCTATATAACTACATGTGTACATATATATATATATATATACATGTGTACACACACATAAAGGAAATGCGAGATCCAGAGCTAAAAGCGTGATGACACGGATCGTAACGCATATCACTGTACTGCGTTGCAAGCATCTCGTGTGTGTGTGTGTGTGTGTGTGTGTGTGTGTGCGCGCGCGCGCGCGCGCGTACGCGCGTGTGTGTGTGTGTGTGTGTGTGTGTGTGGTATGTGTGTGATATATCTCGCGGATTAATCAACGTTCGAGAACAGTTCTCCTTTTTTTTTAAATATCATGCGAAAAACTTTTCGAAGTAACTATGTTCGTCGATGGAATACTCACCGTTGTTGACGAGCGAGTCAAGGTTAATAAAAGGCGTTCAGATCGCAGACTCTTTGTTCCCCCCGCGACTGATCAGTTTCACACCACCACTCGCGATGACAACGACAACGACGTTTCGCAAGCCTGCGTTCACGTCGGCTCAATGTGGCCAGACGTCGTCGTCCGATTGTCAATCTCACAAAACCGCACTCTATGCAGCACGCGTGGCCGCGAACGTTGACATTTCGCAGAAATGAAACGAACAATTATCCTGCGCACAGCTGCTCAGACGATGATGGCTCAGACTTCAAAATGGCTCGTGACAGTTCTTATATTTTCTTTGGTCTTTAGGAAATTTCGAAAAGTCATTTAGATTCAAGTTGGCTGCCCTTTTCGCAAAAAAAGATAGGTAACTGAAATGACAATCTTTACAAATTCCCTAGAAACAGGATAGAAAACCCAACACCCGCACAGCAGCTGTCCTGCTGTGGTCCTGTATCTGTCTCCTATCCCGTCCGCCGTCGACGACGTTGTCCAACGTTGTCCGAATATCGTCGTAGTGGAACTTTCGTGGTCGAGATTCCTAATATGGCCAGTGAAAAAAAACCGGCGAAGACGCCGTCAAAAAGAGAGAAAACCGCTGAGGAAATATTGACGGAGTTCCAGTCGCTCCGAAATGAGCAGAGAATGCTGGCAAATAAACTGTCCGAGATGGAGATGGAATTGAACGAACATAAGTATGAGTCTACATAACCTATATACTTGCCTTTTTCTCCTTTTGACAATCGAAAATGCTTCTGCGAACGCGAGGAGAGCGTTTTTTAACTTGGCGAAATTCGATCGACAATGAGAGACAAGGATCATCTAGTACAAGAACACGCGACTTGTCGCCATCCCACTAATACAACTAACCAATATAACTAATGTTTTAGAATTGTTATCGACACGTTAAAGAATGTGGATCCCAAGAGGAAGTGCTTCAGGATGATTGGCGGACTTCTATGTGAGCGTACGGTGGAAGACGTGATGCCTGCTCTGGTAACAAACAAAGAACAGGTGACATTATTGGCTGTAGTCAAAGTTTTGCTATAAATGCTTTGAAGCATTTGATGGATCAATTAGAAGAAAGAATTTTACAAACTGACTAGTTAAAAAACGCTTCAAAGAATTTGCAACATCGCATTGATCATACCTATTGTCCCCTCTTAGAGCAGAACACATGATAATATTTAAATGTGTTTTCAGTTGATGAAAGTGATAGACGCTTTAAACGACCAGGTAACGAAAAAAGGAATCGAGATAAACGAATACAAGGAAAAACATAACATCAGAATCAGAGGGCAGGATGATTTGCAGCAACAAGAAGAGGACAACAATAATAAAGAAGACAAGAGAAAGGCGATTGTTGTAAATCCCATTGAGATTTAAGTGTATTAAATATAAGTTCTTTTTAATATTACATATTAAGGCATATTGAGATGTGCGTGATTTTTCTAGATTGGAATTCTAGATTGAATAAGTACTTGACTTTTGAGTTCATTTTTAAATCAGCTTCCATGTTTATTTATTATACTATCTTGTATATGCCACACCACTTTGTGACGTCATATCACTAGGCGTTTGTTCCACAAGTGTATTCGACCAAAAAAGAATGTTTTAATGTCTTGTAAAAATTAAGTTTGTACAATTCTGCAATTAGGCCTCTCGACTACTTGTATCTTTGCATCAAAAGTCAAATAATAATGTAACGTTCATATATTTGTCTACTAATTCATTTTTGAAATATTAATTTTTTCACATATTTTTAAATCATATACTTGCACATCTTTTTAGTTGGTTTATATTTATTTATATA